CTATCACAAGTAACAGGTAACCACTTTTACACATCATATGTTATTTTTGTAATATTTTGTATATACTCCAGAATTTTTCTAACATTATTTATGGAATTAGGATTTAATTCTAATAGATCCAGTACATACATCTCAGGAACAATAACATTGTGCTCAGGTTCTGATTGTTGTATGATGCTAATATGATCAAATTGATTACTTTTCTGCTTTTGATTATATATATGAGACTTTATTACAAGAGATTTTGGTTGAGTCAGATTGTTGATTCAAATTAATTCATTAGCAGATTCTGCAAATTCTGCTTGCAAAGTAGCTAACATATCTAATTTTTCATTACACTAAGGACAGATACATTTTTTATTATCGATATTGATTGCATTGCAGTTTTTGCACCACTTTGATTGACTTTTGACATTTTTTTGATTTTTTATAGTTATGTTAATAGTATTAATTTTTTTATTTTTTTTATTTACAAGCTTTTCTAAAATTGATAATAAGTATATTTTTAATTCTAATTCGTGTTTTGCTTGCATTTCAAGTAAAATATAATATAATTTTTCATACTGCTTATCAGTAGCGAATTACAAATCTAAGATGCAATTGTAAATTGAGTATAATCGTCTTTACACATATTTAATGCAACAAAACTTGTAACTACATGGTAGATAACTGTATTATGCCCACGATAAGATAATTAAATTGATCATGTTGTTTATTGTCGAAAGCTAAAAATAAAAGTTCTTTAAATAAGGGTTTATTTTCGACTGCTAATGATTTTAACCAATTAATGAATTTCGTATAACCTCCAGAACTAATTATATGGTTATCAATATTGACAATTGTTTTAGATTGTGCTAACGAATATTTGATCTCTGTTATGGCTAGATTTATTTCCAATACATAGTTTTTATGTTTTGATCCATATATAGCATTAATAGCAACTATTTTTTTAAAAATCTTTTTATTTAAAATATAATTACTACTGTTATTATTATCATTATACATAAGAGTATTAATAAAGTTAACTATTACTGGGTTACGATTAGATAACTAATTAATGGAAGCAAAAATTAATAAATTATTAAGAAAAAACTATTGCTTATTTAAAATTAATAACTCAATAACATTATAAATATTTTGGTGCTCTTGGCTTGCAATTTGAATAATAGAATCAACTCTTTTTTTTTGATTACTATATCAATTTTCTATTCATATTTTAACATATTATTTTGTTTGGTTAGCTTTTCATTTATTTTATTTATTTCATGAATATATTCCCAACTTTCTATTATATAATCATATGCATATTCTAATTGTAT